TATACTATACTACTATAAGAGTTTAAGTAAGTAAAAGAGTATATTATAAGCTTAAATTAATAACTTAAGCTTAAGTTAAACTTAATATAAAGATAACTTAAACTTAACTTAAATAATTTATAGGTTAAGTAAAAATATAAAGAGAATATAAAGAGAGGTAAAAAGAGAGAAACCTTTCTTTTTCTTTCTTTTTCTTTTTAAGTTTATTTATACTTTTTAAAAACGTATACTTATAGTAGTATAGTATAGCTAGTTTATAATAGTATAGTTTTTTTATTAATACTCTAAAAGTTTTACACTTAGATTTTTATTAATAAATTAAAGAGCCTTAATAACGCGTAATTTAACTTCGCTTTTTAGCTTTTAAACGCTAATTACAGCTATTTTCGCGGGTTAACGCGTTAATATTAAAAAATTAGCCCGCCTTAGTAGGTAGCCCGCCTTACTAGTTATCTAGTACCACCTTTAGGTGGTAAGTAAAACGAGCCGCCTAAATATATGGGGCGGGCACGAGTAGTGGTAAGAGCTTCGATTAAACAACCAAATTATCCCCTAGACTGCGATAAGGCTTCAACGAAGTTACGGGACCCACAACAGCTAGGTGACTTTGGGTGACTTTGGTAGTAGCCTGTTAATCGCGTTAGGGCTATGATGTGTGTGATGTAGCTCTTTGTAACATAAAGGCTTATTAGGACTTTTATTATAGTACAATTTAAGTGTGACATAAAGTACCTTTCATTTTCTAGTTTTTAATTGGCTTAAAATCCCTGCAAATACATGGCTAGAGCCTTATCGCAGTCTAGGGGATAGGGCGGGCACGATTCGTGCTCACGTGAATCTACGGTCGCTAAAGGAGCGACTTCTACTGGCCGAGCTACAACGCGTTAAACAGGCAACGCGACCTGTTATGATAATAAATATTACCCCTCATACCACTATGTAACGTAACCGAGTCCACTTTTCCTCCCAACAGACGCTACTAACACCATTAAGTATTCCTTTGCCCCTTGACTCTTGATGTTAAGCCTGTATTAATACTGAACTAACTTTCCTTCTCTAGGGCCGACCTAGTATTAGATTTTTGCCCTCTCAGCCGATACCATGAGTGCTCTAACGGACGCGGAAAAGTATCAGCAGCGTCTACTAGAGGCAGAGGAGAGAGTTGCACGAGCGGAGGAGCGAGCTAATCGAGCAGAAACCGAAAGGGATCGAGCAAAAACCGAAAGGGATCAGGAAAGGGAAAAGACCCGACCGACAACGCTAGATGAGTATCTTGAGGCCTGCCACAATCTTGTTTACGCCCGCCTTTCGGTCGAAACCGATCCGTCCAAGACCACCACTGGCAGCATCCGTGCCGACCATAAGCTTGTTCCAGAGCATCTCAAGCAATGGACTAGCTTCTTTGATGAGCAGAGCGAGATGCTGAGTATCATTTACTCCTTCTTCCCGGTAGAGGAACTACTTTTTGATAATCGAGCCTACCTGACGACCCTTGGCAATAAAGTGTCGGCAGCTCCTATCGCAGACGAGAAAATGCTTGAGAATTTTCTGCATAATTGTGTAGAGGAGCAGGTTAGGTGTATCATACATGAGCTCAGTGTATCTGAGGACTTTCAACGGCAGTTGAATATTGGATCTGGCATCAAGTTTGAGAACCACCTCAAGGCGATCAGTGATACGGCCTTCGAAGTCGTTGAACGAGAACGCCAGCAGCCCCTCCCGCCGTTGCATCAGGAGCCAGAGGAGCCAGGGCCAGAGCCTCAGCGCCCCAAGACACCAGATCTCATCCAGGACCCTGCGAAGCTGAATGCCGACCAAATCTGCATCTATCGCTACGAGAAGGCTGGCCTGGCAATACGCACTATCATTGCAATCGCTGAGTACAAGCCACCCCACAAGCTCACGCTTCCACAGCTCCGCGTGGGCTTACACGACATGAACATTTTCCAAGACGTTGTCTGCAAGAACAAGATCCCAACAGAGGCAGAAGCTAAGTTTCAACACTACGCAGAGGAGCTAACTGCCGCCGCCATCACGCAAACCTACCACTACATGATCAAGAGTGGTCTAGCTTATAGCCTCTTGACGACTGGTGAGGCCATTGTTTTTCTCAAGATCGACTGGAGAGCTCCCGAGGTTCTCTACTACCATCTGGCGGAGCCTGGCCCAGAGGTGCAAGCCCATGCCCAGTTCCGTTCATGTACGGCTGTTGCTCAGTACGTAGCCTTCCATCTCTTGGCACTTAGCGATCACGCGCACATAGGTCAAGATAGGCGCCAGGAGGTCATAAGTGGGCTGAGGCAGTGGAATGTGGATTTCCGGCGTGCAGCGAGCACAATTCCCGAGGATCAGCGACGGGCGCCGCCGAGCTCACCTGCCTTTACTCCCACAACTTACCGTACTGTCGATCGCTCGGTAAGCCGCCAGAGGAAGTTGAAAATTAATACTGAACGTGGAATTAAGCTTCCCGCGAGACAGCGAAGGGATGATGACTCCGATGACGATGGGGGTTCAAATCACCCGCCCAGAACCAGTCCAGCAGAGCGGCAGCCAGGTCATAACCAGGGAACTCGGCGGAGCCAGCGGCTTGCAGAGCAGACTGTTAAGGATAGCAGTCAAGGCAACAGCAAGAACAGAATTAAGGACAGTAATCAAGGTGTCCAGTACTGTACACAGAGGTGTCTGCTTGGTCTGGTGAGAGGTTATATACTTGACGCCAACTGCCCGAATTTTGCCCTTCATAGACCTCGGAATTGCAAGACGGATAGCTCCAAACGCCATCCCATCACACACGTCGACTTCCTCGAGCTGCTTTTTAAGCAGCTAAAACGAACACTGGACTCTGGAATCACATCGTTGGATATCACTGGTGCTCGTGGGGCCCTCTTCAAGATTTCCTTGCTTGCGTATGGGTACACTTTTATTGGCAAAGGTACAGTGAAGGCTTTTATCTCGGATCTGAAGCACGAAGCTTTAGTCTACAAGCGACTTAAGGTAGTACAAGGGACTCGTGTGCCCGTCTTCCTTGGTGCTATCGACCTCGGTGCACTCGGCAGAACGTACTACTATGATTTCCGTGTCGAGGTGGTCCATCTATCTTTTATGTCCTGGGCGGGGGTCGGCTTGAGAGATATTCACGCAGCAGATCTTAATGAGGCCTCTCTAACGGAAATGGCAATACAGTCCATGAAGGCCATTCATCAAGAAGGGGTGGTACACAAGGATGCGCGCCGGGAAAATATGCTGTTCAACCCAGAAACTCGAAGGGTAATGATAATTGATTTCGAGCGCTCGCGGCTTCTCTCGCCACCCCGACGCCAACTGGCCGCCCTGGGGCCTAACAACCGACAGCGGATTCGAGATACGAGGGGGAAGATCAAGGCGGTATCACGTCCTAGCGGTGTTAAGAGCCAGCTGGAGTTAGGTTTCTTGCATGATATCGCAGGAGTGAGGGGGGCGTTTATGTAGCTTAACATTACACTATTAGCGAGAGATTAGTTAGCTTTATAGTAGTGTTCTTAATTATAAGAATTAAGGCTAAGTTATTAAATGTTAAACATAGCCGAGCAGCTAATATAAGTTAAATGTAAACGTATAATATATATTAATAAGGTTTATACTTATTAGCTTATAAGTTAATTCTCTCTCTTTTCTTATTATAAATCTCTTCTAATATTAAAAGTTATATTATATTTAAAGCTTCTATAATTAAGTTTAAATTAAAAAAAATAGTTTTTACTTCTAGTAAATATTATACGTGTAAAATTTAAATTTAATTTCTTTAGAATTTTCTTATTAATCTTTTTATTTTAAAGTATTAAGTATTATTTTAAGTATACCTTTAAGCGTATTTTTTAACTTCTTTTTAAGAATATTTATTATTATTTTTAACGTATTACTTTAATAGATTTTTATAATAGCTTATTTCTATACTTAAAGGGGTTTAAAAGTACTAAAAAGACTTAATAGATTATAAAAACGTTTTTAATTAAGCTAAAATAAAATAATACTACTAAGAATTCTAAGAAAAAGAAGGCTTATAAAAGTATTAGTTCTAATTAAAGTATTAGAAGTAGTATAATTTTATAGTTTTATAGTTTTTATAGTTTTAAATATAAAAGATTATATTAAATCTAATAAAATACTTATAGAATTATAAGTTTTACGGATAACTAATATAAATTCTATATTATAAGCTTATATAAGAAAAGTGGGTCCTTATATAATATTATAAGCTTAAAACTTAAAAAACTACATTTTGTAGTTTTTGTAGTGTAGTGTAGTATAGTGTGTTTTTAGAAAATTACATAATCTAGTTTTTAAGCTTATAATAAGCTAGAAGGACCCACTTTTTTATGTTAGCTAATTGGTTATAATATTAGCTAATTTATGTATTTATTATTATAATTCAAGTATTTTATTAGATTTATTATTAATTATTTAAGCTTTTTTGAAAATTGAAAATGTAGTTTTCTTATTAATGCTCTGATTATTAGGCTATAAATTTAATTTAATATTAATAGGGTTATTAGAGGAGAATAAAAGTGTTTCTTTTATAAGACTATTAATATTAGCTAATCTTTACCTTCTCTCTTATTTAGCTTATATTAAAAGAGTTAAAAAAGAATATTTACTTTATTATTAGACTTTCTTAGCTAATAATTAATAATAAACTAGAATTCTATTAGCTCTTAAGCCTATTAAGCTTAATAGTAATTAAGAACTTTAATTATTATAAAGTAATTAAGGTTCTAATAGTTAAAGTAAACCTTAATATAATATATAGTACCCTTTAAGTACTAACGTTAGTATTTAAATAAGTCTATTATAATTAAAAGCTTTTTATTATATATCTTATAATTTATTTTTATTAATAATAAGATATATAAT